TTATTTTGATATATCACAGTGAAAGATTTATCGTCCTCTTTTTTTTTTTTTTTTTTTTTTTTTTTTTAAAAAAAAAAAAAAAAAAAAAAAAAAAAAAAAAGAAAGAAAGAAAGAAAATTCCTCAACATATTCTGCTGTTACTACCTTATTTCTAGAGTTTGTTTTGGAGTCTTATTATGCCAGAACTGCAGTCTAAACCCCAAAATTACCTCTGGTTAAAGAATCCTAGGGTCAAGATAACCTAAATTAAAAACCTAGTTTGGTCATTCTCCAGCTGTAGTCTCCAGCCCCAGCTGGGCTGGAACTATGTAGACTTGAACTCATAGAGCTCTGCCTGCCTCTGCCTCTCTGAGTGCTGGGATTAAAGGTATATGCCATCAGGCCTAGCTTCCAGCAAAATTTTATTAGTTGTCAAAGAAAGGCTAAGATTAGTCCTCACCATATACAGGATGATAGGATTAAATAGCTACAGCCTAAGTATTATTTTCGGTGATAAAGAATTGATGAAGAGAAAATATTGATCACCAATCTACTTGCTAAATAGTAGTTAGGCCACTTTTTTATGATCCCATTTCGGATCCTAAATTATGGCCAGGAAGCTTAACCTACAGTCTTTTTCTTAAAAATCTTTTTGAGATAGGGTCTTCCTTTAGCTCCAGCTGGCCTGGAGCTCACAATGTAGACTAGGCTGGCCTTGAACTCAAGGACTGCCTGGGCCTCCCAAATGCTGGGATTAAAGGCGTCCACCACCACACAACCAAGTCACACAACTAGCCAACAGCCGGAGCTTAAAGTTTGTGAAGACTCACTCCCCTTTTCACGTTATGTTTTACTGTTTCCTACCTCTCTTGTACGACCAATTCCTTCTAGTTATATAAAAGTCAAGTGCAAATTAAAAGAAAGGAGTCAAAGAAAAAAAAAACGAGAAATCAGCAGTGAATGTTAACTGCTTTATGTTAACATAAAGCAGAAGACCAGATCGAGTGACTTGTGAAGTCCTTGCCTGCTTTTACAAGTTGTTGGGCGATCTTTAGCAAACTACTCGTCGTTTTGGCTCCCAATTTAAAAATGCTTAAAGTAGGAAGGTTGAACTTCCAATTTTCCTTCTGGTGGGAAAACTCGAGGTTTGCAGTCTTGGACCCCTTCGACACCCCAGCCTCTCGCTCTTCGATCCTGATCCGCCACCCTCCAGTTCCTTTCTCATAGTACACTCTCTATCAGCGTCCCCCGTGACTGCGGGGCTAAAGAGCAAGGGTGGAGGACAGAACTCTCCGGAGGAAAAGGAACGAGAACCCGGACTTTCCACCAGGCCAGCCGGAAGCCCAGGGCAGAGAAGCCCAAGCCCGCAGAGCTGGCTTCGGCAGCAAAGGGAACTGTATGGCCAACACAGGCCGGCCGAGGGGGCGGGGCCGCGCGCACAGAGGCGGGGCCGCGCGCACAGAGGCGGGGCCGCACGCACAGAGGCGGGGCCAGGGAGACCGCGCAGAGCGGTGTCGCGTGACCCCGCCCTCAATGGGCGTGGCACCGCCGCGTGACGCCACAAGAGGAGGGGCAGGCAGGTTAAATTGAGCCGGAGCGTGGGCGCGTTCTCCAGTCGCTGTTTGGGACACGGTCTGCGCAGTTCGTGTACTGCGTGGTTGGTGCGCTGCGTTGCCGTTTCGCTGTTACACTTCGTCCCTTCCCGGAGCCTGGGACAAACGGGGCGCGCCCGTGTGCGTGCGTGCCCGCGTGTGTGTGTGTGTGTGTGTGTGTGTGTGTGTGAGTGTGAGTGTGAGTGAGTGAGTGACAGTGGGACTCGGGCAGGCCT